AACGAAATAGAACAATAACAAAAAATAGGTATGAGAACAAAAAGTCAGTTGTTTGGCGCTGTTCTGGCAACCCAAAAGATAATGGCCCATCGAAACGAAGCTGGTATCAACTTACCCTTGTCTTCCTAATGAGAGGTTGTCTTCAAAAACGATCCCCCTTCTTGCTAACGAAGCCTCGTTAAAACCTCTGGAATATGCCCTCTTCGGCGCGTGTATCAGTTTTGACCTGATATCTTGGACCTATGATTTGAGGTTTATGTTACTGACATGTCTTTAGCTTCCGATCGGTACTCGAAACCCCTTCTTGTTTTCGGATTGAAATTGATGGTGTTATGTAACGATGGGTGTTTGTAAAGAGAGTCAGGTGGTATTAAGGAGACAATGATGGGTTAAAGAGAGCTACAAGCATGCCAGAAGAGACAAGCACAAATTTAAGAGTCTGCGTGATGGTGAATGATGAGGATTTTATTATTTCAGGAAAGGAATAACATTAAGTATTTGAATTGTAATTTTTGTATAAATGAATTAAAATTACAGCTTTTTTTTAGCAAACATATTTAAATCATTTTTTTCTTACTGTATCAATTTTTATATGGAATTTACGCGGAGAAAAAAATCTGACAAAATTACCGTACTGTATGTTAATGACATTTTGGTAATTAAAATGAACTGTACGGTATTTGGTCCTTTCATTTAGTGTTTCTTCAATTCCGTATGGTAGCGGTTCACCTGAATAAAGGTAATAGAGGTTTTAAACGTAAAATCTTGGCACGTGAATATCACTTCCGTTGTTACGCAAATTGATTATATACTAACCGAATTCTTCACTGAAAATTTTTTATTTTTCTGTCCTATTACGATGTTTTCGTTTTAAAATAGTTGATTAACCTCTTGACATACGAAGACGTCTGGGAGACACTATTTGCTTCTTATATCAAAACAATAATTGACGCGTCTCAGACGTCTTCAACACAGAGATGCCAACTTGCTCCAAAAAGCAAATAAATATTTTAAAGTGGTAGTTTATCAATTGTGATTCTTGGTCACAATTTAAGTCAATTTAGTAGATTTTCATCCGCCACTATTTCTAAATAATTCGTAGGCTTATATAATTCACCACTTTATAGTAGTTATGTCATGCTATACCTTTTAAAATGCAAGCAAAAATAGTTTTTTAGGAATAGGTTTTTAGGAAAAATAAAATTTTTAGCACTAAAAAAAAATAAAAAGTAAAAATTTTTAGAAATAAAATACACTTGGCGTGGTTACCTATTCCGCTTTATTTTGAATCGTTTTGAATCCAAATCTAAGAAAAATCGCCAAAGAAATTTTTTTTAACGTTATTGCTACTGTAATAAAAGCGTTTGCTATTTGGTTATAAAAGCTTTGAAATTGTCTCTTCCAAAAGTCTCGACACTAATACATTTTCAGAAATTTTCATAAAATTTGGAAATGCGGAACACTAGGGTTCCCTGGAAAGGTCGCAAGAGCTCCGGGAGTAAGGACTTTCTTTTAAACAACTATAATTTTCGAAATAAGAAAAGTCCAATTCGTTCAAATTCTGAGAGTTGGCAGATAATTTAAATGACTAGTTTTCTTCTTTGAGAAAAAAGCTCAGCTCCCTTGAATGTAACTGACTAAAGCAAAATTAATATAATTGCCCGTTAATTTATGTAAAGCTTCTTAATACATTTCGCAGTGTGCACCCTTTTTCTTGGTGATTACAGCGTCAGTCAACGGACACAAAAGTTTCAAATTCGAACTCAGAAGGCGTCAAAGAACATCTTTCTCACACTCTTTCTACATTTTTGAACACTTTACTCTTACTCTTTCCGAAAAATGTCACTGAGTTAGTTCACTTTGATTCGGCAAACAAATGGCTTGAATTTCAAATGACGTCAAGCCTCGAAATGATGTTCGAACTGAACGTTAATATTCAGCAATGGATTTTATGAGAAAAAATTCACGGGCAGATCCGTATTTTTATAGTCATGGCAGCTTTACAGTCAGATCGGTATTTTTACGGTCATGACAGCATAGCTTTACGAGCATCCCATTTATTTGCACCCTACCACTAAGAAAACACTTTTTTGAAAAGTATAAAAATTAGCAGATATGTTATTGTTGTTATAAGAAGCTTTGAATAAATTCTACTTATTCTAATAATAAAAATATTAAATATTTTTGTGGGTTCTATAAATAAATCTTTCATAAAAAAACAAAAACAAAAACTGTTTAGCATCTAGTCGGAATTTTCATTTCTTTCGTTTAAAATTTTTTTTTAATATTGTGACTTGAAAACGTTTTTTGTTTATTTATGAAAAAGCAAGAGAAAATTCATCTAATCGTAAGAGAAATCTATTTAGTTATAAGAAATATAATAACGAAAGGAATGAGATTAAGTTTTTTATTGAGAAAAATTTTTCTCAGGAGAAAATTGGTCACTACAATACTATAATTGTATGACATAATATAGTTTTATTTCTACTATTTTTAATTAACTTTCATTTCATCACCTGAATGTTTGTAACATAAGGTTGCTGAACAAATCACGAATTCTTTCTTTTCAATATATTGACGCGATTTTTTCCTCTTTTTGACTTTTCACCAAAGCAAACTCAAGTCAAAATGAAATGTCACCCATTCAATGAAACCTTTAATCATCTACCTGAATCATTTCCCCTTTTTCCCCTCCGTTTGTTCTAATTAAGGGGGAAAAATTGGGGAAATTCACTGAGGGGGTAGGGATGTATTTTTCGGTACTTTACGATCTATTTGTTTCCTTTTGAATCACTCGTTTTGTGATCGAGAGTAATTGCGTTTGGAGTTGTGATAATTCGGTTAGCTCGTTTCACTGTGGGATTGGTACCGCGTGGCTTTCGGCTTACATTGCGTTTGTAGAAATGGATCGATTAGGCGAGGGTTACCAACCTGGCAATGTATCGCGGAAATTATTACGCCTGAATATTTTTCCATCTAACGATGTAATTATGCTTAGTACTGGATACTTCTTCGTTAAATGGGTGGAAAATTAGTTCTTAATTATCGTTTACTTTATGAGGAGAAATATATTTGTAATACAATAGAATAAGCGTTGAGAGATTTATATTTTAATGTTGTCGTATCCTCATCTTTGTGAGAAATAAAAATAATAGTTTAATTATTGAAGGGTTTAATTATTAATCGTTTAATTATTAGAAAGAAAGGCACTTAAAAATTCTAAAATTAATTAGATGGGAATTCAGCTCTTTACTCGCGGAATACATCACTAGATTTCTGACACATTTAGATTTACATTTTTCTGTTTAAGTAACAGTTTTTGTTCTTCTCTTTATTAAAAACAGGAATAGTTGAACCCGCCATTTAATTATTAAAGGGTTGAAATTTAATTTCTTTAAAGAAAATTTTTTAACTGAATGGATTAATCAACTACAGTTATAATTATTGATAAAGAAAAAAGATTTAAAAAAATAATAATTTAGACTCATATAATTCATTATAGTTTTAATGCTTAGAAAAATTATCACTACTAAACTTTCATTATTATACCTCTTTGTATAATTTATATAATTATTATATATAATTATTATATATAATTATTACATATAATTATTATATATAATTATTATGTATAATTATTGTATATAATTATTATATATAATTATTGTATATATTGTCTTATGTAATTATTCTAGGGTTAAAAATTCAATTATTTAAAGAACTTTTTTAACTGAATCGATAAATCCACTGCATTTATGATTATTGATAAATATAAAAGATTAAAAAAAATAATTTAGACTCATATAATTCATTATAGTTTTAATGCTTCGAAAAATATCACTACCAAATTTTCATATAAATATGAAAATATTACCTCTAACGTATATTTCCTAAGTAACCACCTTTGGCTCTAATGCAGAACTATAAACGTGCTTTAAAAAATTTTATGGGGATAAGTTTTTTATCACCAAAAAAGGCCGTACTTAAAGGGCCGTACTTAAGCTACTAGTTACATTTTTTCCCATTTCATGCGTAAGGTTCTTAGCAGAAGCTCTTGCCACCGGTACGTAATGGTAAATTTATCAGACTTAAGTTTGGTGAATTAAGTGTTCATTCTCTTGTTTTAATGTGTCATGAAAATTTGTCTGGCATCATTTGCAAATAAAGTTTTGAAATAAAATTATCTAATTTTAAGACATTTTTAGCTATAGGGGAGAGTGGGGTCAATTGTAATGGGTACGATTGTAACACAGCAAAAATTTCGACTGTCGGGTTCTGGTTTTGTTTCTTAGGTGGCGCACAATGTGTATTTAATAAATCTACATATACGCCCCTGCTGGCAACCATTTTTTATGTACTTTTGAAAGAATTACATCACAAAAGATATTTTCACTCTACGTAAGTACTTTTTTTGGTATTAGAATATTATATTGTAACAAAGTAATTTTGTTTAAACAAGTAAAAATTATTAACCGAATATGTAAGTGGACACCTTAATTGACATTTAAAAAAAAGATTAGTTTTGTTAATTAACTAGCATTGTTTTTAACAAATGAAGCTGAAATGGTGTCTTGGGGACGATTGTAGCAATAAGTAAAAGGACGAATGCAACAGCTGAAAATAAATAATCTTATGTTTACAAACCATTACTTAACTCTTTAAGAACCACCAATAGTTTCCTATATCATTTATATTATGTTGCATGTGCATTATTTTATTTGTCACCTTTCACAGCATAAATTAAAATGTTTAACCCCTTAAAGTTAAAAGTTTAACCNGTACAGTTGCCAAAGCAGGGATGCCTTGGTCTCTGCAGAGGATCAAAATTGTGATGGCATGTCTTTGGATCATCCTTAGGGATGTTTCCCAGACCGTGTGCAGTTCATAGTCCTTTGTGCAGTTCTACTGCGATGTAAATAAAGTTCCTACCTTTCAATTTTAAGCTATAAGTTTCGTAATAAGCATAAACTAATGCCAGGTATTTCTCTTTCTCAGGTAAAATGTTAAAGACTGGTGAGAAAATCATGAAAATCGAAACTCACGACATGCACACCGGAGGTGAGCCTGTGCGAATCGTCGTTTCCGGCATGCCTGAACTGAAGGGTTCTACAATTTTGGAAAAGCGGGATTATGCACGAACTCATTTGGACGACTTCCGCAAATTAATAATGAACGAGCCGAGGGGTCACAAAGACATGTATGGTGCTATTATAAATCAAGTGGACCCATTTGACAAAGACATAGGGGCAATCTTCTTCCATAATGAAGGTTACAGTTCAATGTGTGGTCATGCTGTTATAGCTCTTGGCCGGTATGTATTAGATAGAGGATTGGTAAGGCCTACTTCTCCTGAAACTGAGATAGTATTTCACTGTCCTTGCGGACCTGTCAAAACTGTAGTCCAGTATAATAATGGTTTTAGTGGACGGGTTTCTTTCCGTAGTGTTCCTGCTTTTGTTTACAAACTTGGTATTTATTTTTATTTTCCTGAATGTCATGTCTTAAGTCAATTACTTCTTATTTTGAAGCATTTCTTAACCCATATTTTTTAGTGAAAATGTTGTATATATATCATGTATATATATATATATGTATATATATATATATATTCATAAATTTGTACATATACGTTTACTCTACATTTTTCAAAATATTAGTATACACTGAACCATACATTAGTGCTAATATATTGCATTTTTAATAAAATGAGAAGTTGAATGTTAGTAGATCTTTTTGCTATTGTTAATATTATGCTTCTGATTACCTTGATGAATGTAGTTATTTAACTTCACCTTTTTACATTGTCTTCTTGTCTTGATTTTTCAGATAAATACTTATTAAAATTATTATTATTTGCAGTTTTCAGAATTGAAATTAGAATGCCAAACTGTGCCAACTTTGGCGTTAGTCTGCTTGGTGGATGATTCTGTTTGTGGATTGCATCAAGTGGCATTGTGCTAGACTCGATTGAGTCCTTGGCGTCATTCCACTGCAAACGCCTGAAGCCACGCAATTCGCCCTATACAGTCAAATAATCAAGACGGCGGAGAAATAAATGAAAGAGAAAAAAAAAGAAATGGATAAAAGGACTAAAGAAGAAATGATGAAAAAGCCCTTCCACAATACCAACTTCTAATCGATATAAGGCAGCATCCGGGTGTTTAGGGGTATGGGGAGAATCTTCTTGTGTATAGGGGGAGAAAATCACTCTATTACATGCCGTTATTCAGTCATCTCAATTATTTATTATGCTTCTTTCGTCTCTTTATTCATCCAGATTTTGACAACCCAAGATTAATTCGAGGTTCCTGCTTTTGTTGCACCGAATTTACAAATCGCGGAAGGCAAGATCCGAGGTGATTTCGGATGAGGCTCTTAATGCTTCGTTCGGTATACAATCTGGAATAGAAATAAGTTTCTATTCGAGATGATTTGATTCGCAACGAGCGAATCAGATAATCTTCGGATGCAAGGTTAAGAATTGAATCAAATAGTATCTTCGACCTTTCCGAATGGTTTTTCTTTTGTTCGCCAAAAAGCCCTTTTGCGCCAATGCATTGAAGACATTGTTTATTGGGGGTTAAAAGTTAAAAAGTGTTGTATTGAGTAATTTATTTCGAATGCGTTTAGAGTAATTGTTGTTTTGAAAAGTTTTTATCATTGTTATTATAATATTTTTTCCGGAAATAACATTCGGAAAGTTTTATATGAAGTATGCTAAAATTAATATTTTTTTTATTTGATTTTTTCCTTAATGGGAAAATGCTATTGGAGTTCAATTTGCTTCTGGCGCGTCATAAGTAATATTTTCTGTAAATTTGAAGATTCCTATTTTTGTCTCATATTTCATGAACCACATTTAATAGCTTTATTAAAGCTCTTATTTATAACTGAAAAAAACTATCTGACGATATGGCTATCCAACTTTTTAAGAAAGTTTATATATAAGAAAGATTATATAAGAAAGTTTATATATATATGGAATGGCAATATTAACAATAACAACGTGCGTTACAAATTGCAAATAGTTTGCGTACTTAATATTACTTAATATTATCAGCTTTTATGACATTCTTGACTTTTAGATGTATTTTAAATTTTTAATTAAGACATATTTATTAAAAAGAAGATTATTTGATGATTTGGTCAACAAGATTTGTGAAAAGACTCCTTTTTGGTTAAAACTTATAAAAAAAGGAAACATTTGGAAACACAAATTTATTGATTTTTTGGAAAGTTTCAAGATTTCTTTTAAACTTTAGGAATAAAACTTTAGACTTCACAAAATACTTGCTGTAATATAAAAAAAAATGTATTGAAAATCATAGAAAATTTATTGTAAAAAGTAAATCAAATTGTAGAATAGCTTTAAAAAATAAGCTTGGTTTTAAATTTGCAAAGTAGTCCAGCTTATTTCCCCCTTTTCATGTTGTTTAAGGTTAGAATTATAGATATCATTTAAAAAAAAATCAGAAATTATTTTAAATTAAACCAAATACAAATATTGATTGCATATTTAAACATTTTGAAGCACGAATATTTCCTAGCCAAAAATGCAAAAGTTTCTGTTTTTAATCCAATCCAATTTTAATCATAACACTTATACAGACAACTTTAAATGCAGATGGTTTGATGATGTAAATTCTTGACTTCTTTACATATATGAACTGAATATTCTTCCCAAAATACCATCTTTTGAAAACTTGTATAAAAAAAAAATCGTCACACAAGAGAAAACTTCTTTACTTAATTTTATTTCTATTACAATGTTAAAAAGGTTTTTTTTGATACTTTCTGTAGCTCACTATCAAATTAAAATTTTACTAGAACTTTCTAAATTAATAATTTCGAAACATAATTTATATTTATTCATTCATTGTATGTTATTCATTATATGTTTTCATTTTTAACTAAAATTAAAAATGAAAACAAATAATCACATGAGAGAAAACTACTATAGTTTGATTAATTTACGCCTTAATAGGTTGTTGGAATAGTTCGTTTGAATAATCTCCGTTATTAAAAAAAAAAAGGGGGGGGGGATTTATGAAGGAATATAATTTTTTAAAATTACAGTCCAAAATACAATTTTTCTTTCATTAAAAATTAGCAATAAAAATTGGGAATAAAAAAAATGATCATGGAACAAGAAACAATTACAATTTTACTAATGCACGTCTAATGATAAAAGCTCAATGAAATTTGTGAAATGCAATATTCACTTGCATCTTGTTATAGTATTTGACAAGAACTAGAACTTTCTAAAGTATTACCAAAATAAGTTCAAGAACAATTTAGTTTTATTAAAAATAAATTACGAAAAATTAGAAATAAGAGGGAAAAAATTACTTTTATTTCTTTATTTCTTTTCTTTTCATTTTTATTCATCTTGTTTGTTTAAATTTGCTTAGAGTGCTTCGTAAAAATCACTATTAATATATATTTATGGAATTTTTGTAAAAAAGGAATTCAAAAATTTTGCTAATATTTAAAGTTAATATTTAAAATCAGGAAAAAAATAGTTATCGAAATCAGTCAAATCATCAGTGCAGAAGCAGGATCTGAAAACAATAGAACGTGCTTGATTGTCGGAGAAAACAGAGAAGAGTAAAAATACGATTGCAAGACACATTTCTAAGCTTCCTTAGACAATAAAACTGGTTTTGATAATTTCCTCCTTTATTCACCAGTATTGATGTGACAGATATTTATAAAGTTTTATTCCTCTCTTACTTTAATATTAATTTGTGAACCCTAATGCGCATACTTTTGTTAAACTTAATTTTTGGCAAGGATTATTAAATTATACATTAAATGCAGCCATGCGATATACATTAAATACAATAATAACCGGTAAGTTAAATGCAGGCAACTTGTAAGTTTATGAATTTGTTTTATCAATAAGTTTATTGAATCATTGTTTAAATTGTGCTGTTTATTTTTTTTAATAACGATGCTATAATGCAAATTTTATTTTATTTTATAAGCGTCGTTGAACAGCCGACACATCTTTTTGGGTTTGCGATTACTTATGTTCAACTTCGTAGCCTTGTAATTTTGAACCCTATCTAGAAGACAAGGGAACTCCTGGATCAAATATTGGGAGAAATTTACCTTCGTGGAGGACTTTTTGATGAACCTAACCAGCACTAGCGTTACATGGAGAAGAAGACCACGAGAACCTCCTACGGTTAATCTGACGGCAAAGGGACTCTAACCCATGATCCGTTCAGCACTGAGGATATTTCACGTCAACACTGTGATCTGTGCAAGCCGGATGCGGAATTCGTATCGACCAGCCATCACTGAGATTTTTAATTTAACATAATGCACTCGGTGTGATGAATTTTTAACGTATTTTTTATCAGCTTAATATTAATGCATATAATCTCCACAAACTATTGATATAATTAGAAATAAATAATAATAAATGCGTTGGAATGCAATAACAGTTTCTTAAACTTCACAGTTCAAAAAATAATTATTCTGCAATAATTTTTTTCAGAACATTCAATATTACATATTGTAAAAAGGCTTCCTTTTTTGCAAAGTTCTTTTTCTGATTTTTGCAAATTGTCTATCAGCTTAAGAATTCAGAAATGGTAAAACATCCAATTATAATTTTCATATTTACAAAAGAAATGAATGGGAATAAATGCTATAATAAAGCAATAAAATAATTCCATGCTCTCAAACTATTTCCTGATCGCTTAAATTATGATCAATCAGACATATTTCTTTCGCTATAAGGCACTAATAACAACTATTAAGAGCGTAATAAAGCAAATCTCATAATAAGTTGCAATAAAGCTAAATTACAGCTATTATATTAGGCATCCCCAAATTTCCAGCACTTTGTTACTAGTTTAGTTCATTATAAACAATTCAAAATACTTTTCTAATACGAAAAATGTTTGTTAGATTGAAACATAGTAGCAGAAAGCAAAGACTAAAAATAGTAAGCGTTTAATAATGACTTGGACTTACGTGTTTTTGTTAAACACAAGTCATTTTAAAAGTTTGATTTTATGTAAGCAATTGTTCTCGAGAAATACTTGTTGTAAGATTTTTTTTTCCGAATTTGTTTTTTGTGTGCAATTTTAGGATTATTTATTTTCGTTTTATAATACTAAATATTGTGATCATTTTAATAAATTGTAGCCTTTTTTTTATGTGTCGTATCACAAAAAATCTCCTTAACGTATAAACAGGGTAAATATGTGATTTTTTTATATGGTTATTAAATTAAACTGGGATACAATACAGAAGAAAAATAAAATATTGCTTTATAATTCAAATATTCATCCAAGATGTTAATAATAAATAAAGCTTCCTCCAAGAAAACGTATTTATCTTAAAATATAAATCAACGAAATTTTACTACATCCTTATGCATTTTTTTGTGTGTGTATTTTAATGTGTAATTATTTTGTTATGAATAATATAACTCAAAAGGATTAATCTAAATGAAGAAACTAATCTGAAATTATGGTAATTGCCCAAACATTTGTTTTTAAATCAATTGTCCTTTTTTTAAATTTATTTTTATTAATTCTATGTGCATTTTGCTTCTCGTATATAATAACACATTTTTAATTATAATATTTTATGCAAGAATTTAATAAATTTTATTGAATTTATTAAAACTATTAATTATTAAATGTTAATTAATGAAAAGTCTTATAATGCATGATATCAACATTGCGCATTCTAAGAAATTTAAATATAAGCATTATTTTATGATGTTGATGAAATATTTTAATAAAAACTATATATATTTTTAAATTCATAAGATTATTTTTATAAAAAGAGACGTACTATTAACAATCTACGTCCGATTTTTGCAAACAGTTTTTCTTCTCTTAATAAAAAGTAATTAAAAAGAATTAAAGAAAGAAGAGTCAGTAATGTAAAAGAAATCGGTTGTTTTAATTCTTGAAAAAGTCAAAAACTAATTCAAA